GAATTTTTAATTTTGCTAACAAAATTAGGTTCACATGCATATGCGGGCTTTCTAATCAGGAGCGACCGTGGACTACAATGTTGTGAATTTAAAATTAAGCACCACAGTTCACATGCAATTAATTAATTGAACTTTATTTTATGTTTATAATAATTATTATCCTTAATTAATTAATTAATCTTCAGGGTTGGACTTTAAAGTACAAATAGTCTTTCAAATGGTACTGCAAAGCACGAATTTCGAAATTCATCCAACGCATTTTTTTTTGGGGGTGCATTTTTCAAGCAGCGAACTTACTTGGAAGTTTCCTAGGGATAGTAATAAGTAATATTTTACAAGAATAATAATTTAATTTCACAATAAATAATTTTTGCTTTTCAATAAATTATATTAATAGTTAAATTTGCATCGAGTTTTCATTATTTTAAATATAAATAATAAAATAACAATATAAACTAGTAATTCTAGTTTAAAAAACATAAAACATGTAAATTTCAATTCATATCGTAAAGCATAAAAAGTAGAAATTAACTTTACAAATTTATATATAATATAATAGTATAATTTCAAGACTTTTCTTTAAAAAAAAAAAAATTCTGCAAGTGATTAAACCACGAAAGTAAAATTATAGATTATCCAACTAATATTGTAGAAAATAAATAAAAAAAGTTTTGAAGTATATATTCATGTGCGAATATCTTAAAAAAACTCTTATTTAAGCATGTAAAGTTGTTACCTTTTTAAAGATGGTGTTTAAAATTTTTGTTTGAACCGGATTCTTTTTCATGTAATTTTAACGAATTATTTTCTAAATTGACATAATATATTTAAAATTTGACCACTAATTATTCGTAGTAATCAAATGAAATCAATATTCATATATTATTTAATCTACAATAATATTATTCTTTAAATATTCACTAATCAATTCAAAGGGAAAAAAAAAAAATCAACTAATAAAAGGAGAACCTATCAACTAGTGGTGAGGTCAGCTTAACCTAATCAGATGACCAACATAATCTTTTTATATGTATGTGTATATATATCCATTAGTGTGGTCCCGAGTGTAATGGACCAACGAAAAGGTTAAAAAAAAAAAGAAGCAAAGGCACTTTACATGTTCCCCATTAATTCTTTAATTGCTTTTGGTAGTTGCCAAGAAGTCACATTCTCTAAAAAGCTATTTAAATATTTCCGCACAAACCTAACCACGAAAACAGCATCAAGGAAAAAATAAATACTTAAAAAATAATTATTTAAAAATTTAAATATTATAAATTTATTTCGTCTTACTACAATAATTCAACCAAAAAATGTATTTAGTTTTGAAACCCAGTCAATAAAAAAATAGATTAATTTAAAATATACTCTGAATTTATCCAAATGAATGCCCATTTTGAAACCCTGGTGTATCCATTTGCCCATTTTGAAAATGCAGTTACAGAAGAGAAAATTCAAGATGATGACTACAGAAATATTTTGACACCCACCAAACAGGCTCTTCAAAACCAGCAAGAAACCATGGCGTAATAGTTGGTGCACGGAACTACTTCCAATTTTATTGTTTTCTTTGTTGAATATAGAAAGAAGATTTGATTTCAAGTGGTTAATTCTATATTTAAAAAAAAACATACTGTATATAAACTAGATACTACTAACATATTTTAATTATTATTACCATAAAAAAGAACACACACATAAATATATATATATATATATATAATATAACTGCTTGGAATTATCCTCATGAAACATCCAATATTTCTCTCATTACAAATTATTTTAATTGAAATTTGTGTTCTAATTTTTTTAAAGTAAAGCAAGTTTTCCACAGTTTCCGGTGACGTATTGTTGTTAATAAAGAGCTAGTGATACGTTGCTCTCACTAAATATAAAATAGAGTTTAGAATGAATAAGTTATTCCAACCAAAAGAAATTAAAATTCAATTTGAACACGAATTTTCTTAGGAAAATGATAAAATAAATTAAGAGTGACCAAAATTAAGGATAATTTAACGTCGGTAGATTCTTAATTATAAGCTACTACTATATATATATAATGCATATGATTGTGATGATTAATAACACTCTGTGCCTGTCGTGATTAAAGTAGCTATCCCTTTCTCTCTCCATTATATGTTTAAAAAGGTTTTTTTTTTTTTTTTTTCTTGATCATCCATTATATGGGAAATTTATATGTTTTCTACCCATTATACTGTAACACATTTTCTTATACGTAAACTCACTATACTTATAAAAAAGATGAATAAAAATGATAAGATAAAAGGGTGGATAACAAAATTTAGTAAATAATATAGGAACTAAACTCTAAACTCAATACCAACAAAATAATTAATTTGTCATAATTTTAAATTAATTAAAAACTTAATCTATTGTTTATATAATAACACAAAACTTCATAAGCAAACCACCAAGTTCACTTTTTTTTTAAAAAAAAAAAATTAATCTTAGCAGCAAAAATTATAAACAAAAATATCGACCAAATTAAAAAAATAAAACACCTTGTACCGCACAGCTCACAACTTGCATATGTAACAGCTATGTCTGTTTTTATTCCCAGCTCTTAATCAATGCAGATGATTTTGGAGTTCCTCTAATTAATAAACTTGTCCTTAGTTTTTATAAATAGTCAATTAGGAGTATTAAAACTTAATAATTAAACAACTTACAAAAAGCAATGAAATTTAAATGAGAACTGGTAGATTCTCTTGACAATTATAAACTTCTGTTTCCTCTATGCTCATGCCATACTGTTTTAATTAATTCAAAATCTCTCGGATCGTTTATATTTTTGAATTACGTTAACAAATAAAAACCTATTGAATTTTACTTATTTATGGAATAATATAATTTATATTTGTTAATTAAACTTTGATTAATTACTATTAACGTATGCATGAACACTTCCTATACTAATGTAGATTAAAACTAAAGAAAGTTTGTTACTTAGGTGTGGTCCGGCATCTCAGGAAACGTCATGGCTCTTAGGTGGTGGTTTTTCTATGTAGCTTAGGCATTGCTACATCTACAATGAAGGAACTTCAAGTTATGTGCCAAAGCTCATAACTGGTTTGAGATTAGGGTTTTTGTTAATTTACTTCTTGGGTAGACTCGTTTGCAACTATTTAATTTATTAACTTAAATGAGACCTAAAAATCACAATAATCATTAGATTAATAAAATGAAAAAAAAAATTGTTTAACAATAATCCGAAAGTTATGTGAACTAATTCATTAGAAAACTACTTCATGAATTCAAAGATTATATCAACTTATAGTTTAGTATTATTTTCTTTGTTTTCCCTTTACATCTCAAAATAAAAAATAAAGTTCCAAGTAAAATATTTATTACAAGACAAAAATTTTAACAAAAAAGTATCTTAATTTACTCAATAAAATCTTAACCAAGTTGTTGGTATATCTATCGAAAAACTTCAAACTTGAATCACATAAAAAATTTTGTTTCGAGTATTGTTTTATCTTAGCACTAAGCAAGTCTATGTCAATAATTTTACTTTGAGAATATTTATAACTCAAATAAAATATTATATAAATAAAAATTGCTTAAATCTGTATACTTTAACATAGTTATTCAATTTAAAAGTGTAAATAGTGTAACAACTTTAAAATAAAAAAAAAGTGATGTTAATAGAGCATCAATCAATTTAGTAGTAGAGTGAAATCTCTACTAAAATTTCACATATCTAGACACTCACAACATACAAAATCAAATTTTACTAATAAATAAACAATATGGTTACCATTCATAAATAAAATGTTTAAACTATAAATGTAACTAGTAATTAAAATCAAAACAAATATTGGGCGATAATCTCAATTGCACTCGAACCATGTTTAAGAAAAAACTAAGAAATAAAGGGAGAGAAAAATATAGATAAAAGCAAAAAGAATTTTTAAAGGAAATGAAAAAAATTTATATATTACTTGTTTGATATCAAATAATTTTAAAAAATAATAATAAAGAAAATGTAATAACAATTGTAATATTTTAGCTGATTTTGTTTTATAAAAGAACGAAAAAAATATTAGTTACTAAAAAGATAGTCAACAATATTTAATAATTTAATGACACATTAGGTAATAATGGTTCCTAACAAATTTTAAAATTTTATTTTTTAAACTTTTTTCTTTTTCATTAATTATTTGTTTTAATCTAAGTAAACAATAGTGGACTTGGTACATTTTTTTTTTTTTTTTAATCTCCCTCAATCTAATATGGTGCTAATATATCGCTTTTAATTATAATATATGGAAAACAATAATTAAAGCTCAAACTTAAACTTTTATCATGCAAGAATATTTGTTAATTTGGCAACACATGATACTTGCCCTTATTTGTATTAATATTAAAGAATATCATATTATAAAATTTAAAAGATGAAATATAGATAAATTGTTAGTTTCTAGTGGAAAAGAACAAAATGTTAGTTTGTTTTCGTTCTTTTTGCACTACGATTATTAAATTAAGAATTTTATTAGTGCAAAAAACAATATTTTGGGATCTGTCTCACGTGCCGGCGGTCCATCGTTATCAAGAACCAACACCTCTACCCCAAAAACAGACGCGTGGCTGCGCGACGCTAAGAACCCTCCCCTTCCCAGTGCTGCGCTGACATGGCGGTGACCTAACCCCACATGCCCGCCTCACGTTATGCCAAGTTTACTGTGTTGTGGGCCCACCATGTTCCCTCCCTCCCCTACACCTCCCTCCACCCAAATTTATTCAATATTTTTTTTATCAAATTACTGTTTCCGTTTTTTTTTTCTTTTATTTTTTTAAATTCAAGTTTAAAAACACTTTCCACAATACAAACAGGACCCGTCGGCTTCCTGTAATCTCCCTCCTCTGGGTCCCACTCTCTCCCCAGCACGTGACGTGGCACTCTCTTACTGCTCAGCCTTTCCCACCACTATATAAACCCCTTTACGCCTTAACGGACTCCTCATCCTCCACGCTTTTCTCTCTTCTTCCCTCTCATTTACAAATCACAGGCCTCTCTCTTTCAATCTGTCTTTCGATCAACGTTAACTAATCTCTTCAAAAATGGCGGTTGACTCTGCAATTTCGTCTCCTTTGGGACCGCCGGCGTGCGAAAAGGACGCCAAGGCCCTACAGTTCATAGAGGAAATGACTCGAAATGCAAACTTGGTCCAAGAAAAGGTTTTGGCCGAAATTTTGAGCCGAAACGCCGAGACGGAATACTTGAAGAGGTTTAAGCTCAACGGTGCAATTGACCGAGATACGTTTAAGTCCAAACTTCCGGTCATCACCTACGAAGATCTCCAGCCAGAAATCCAACGTATAGCCAGTGGAGATCGCTCTGCCATTCTATCGGCTCACCCTATCTCTGAATTCCTCACCAGGTCCTTATATTTGTCCATAAACTGATTATCTCTCTTCTACCTCATCTGATGTTTTTTTTTAATACTAATAGAGGAATATTACTAAATTTTCAGTTCTGGGACTTCTGCTGGGGAAAGGAAACTTATGCCCACGATTCAAGAAGAGTTGGATCGTAGACAGTTGCTCTACAGTCTGCTAATGCCAGTAATGAATCTGTAAGTATTCAAAAGTGCAAAAGATAGGATGATTTTACAATTTTACAAATTTACCTCTTTTACCGTTCCTTTTGGATGTATACACACATAAATATTACTGATGGGAAATACGCGCTTTTTTGTATGAAACAGTTATGTGCCCGGATTGGATAAAGGCAAGGGGCTATACTTCCTGTTTGTGAAATCAGAAACAAGGACTCCAGGTGGGCTCCTGGCCCGACCCGTTCTCACTAGTTACTATAAGAGTGACCATTTCAAGACCCGACCGTATGACCCGTACAGCGTCTACACCAGTCCCAACGAGGCCATCCTCTGCGCTGATTCTTTCCAGAGCATGTATACCCAGATGCTTTGCGGCCTTCTCGAGCGCCACCATGTACTCCGCCTCGGTGCTGTCTTCGCCTCCGGCTTGCTCCGTGCCATCAAATTCCTGCAGCTCAACTGGCAAGAACTTGCCAATGATATTAAAACGGGGAAGCTGAGCCAGAAGATCACTGATTCTTCCATCAGGGACTGCATGGCCAAAATCTTGGTAAAACCAGATCCTGAACTCGCTGGGTTTGTTAGAGCCGAGTGCGCTACGGGGAACTGGGAAGGTATCATTACGAGAATTTGGCCCAACACCAAATACCTTGATGTGATTGTCACTGGCGCCATGGCTCAGTATATTCCTACTCTGGACTATTATAGTGGCGGGTTACCGTTAGCATGCACCATGTACGCATCGTCCGAGTGTTACTTTGGCTTGAATCTAAACCCCATGTGCAAGCCATCCGAGGTTTCTTACACAATCATGCCAAACATGGCCTACTTCGAGTTCCTTCCCCACTCACCCAATTCGCCCAGCGTCACCCGTGAGTCATCCCCAAAACTCGTTGACCTTGTCGACGTGGAAGTGGGTAAGGAATACGAGCTCGTGATCACCACTTACGCCGGCCTCTACCGGTACCGAGTGGGCGACATACTCCGAGTCACCGGGTTCCACAACTCCGCCCCGCAGTTCCATTTCGTAAGGAGGAAGAACGTGTTGCTCAGCATTGACTCGGACAAGACCGACGAGGCGGAGCTACAGCGAGCAGTGGAGAACGCATCCCAGCTCCTCCGCGAATTCAACACCAGCGTCGTCGAGTACACAAGCTACGCCGACACGAAAACGATCCCGGGTCACTACGTGATATACTGGGAACTGCTTGTGAAGGACCCAGCAAACTGGCCCAGCGAGCAGGTACTTAATCAGTGCTGTTTAGAGATGGAGGAGTCGCTGAACTCGGTGTATCGACAAGGCCGGGTCGCAGACAACTCGATAGGCCCATTAGAGATCCGTGTGGTGAGAAGTGGGACATTCGAGGAGCTGATGGATTACGCGATATCGAGAGGGGCATCCATCAATCAGTATAAGGTGCCGAGGTGTGTAAACTTTATTCCTATCATGGAGTTGCTGGATTCTAGGGTGGTATCGGCGCATTTTAGCCCAGCTCGGCCACATTGGACTCCTGAACGAAGAAGGTGATGAAATAATCTATTTGTTTAAGCACCGACCAGAAGAGTTCAAGTCAATGAGCTGGTCATTATTGCAATATGTAGATTCTTCTCTATCTCTTTTCTTTAGTTTTTTTTTTTCTTCTGATTTTAAAATATTTATTGGGTTTTAATTTGGATAGGGTTTCTTATTTTTTATTTTTTGTTGGATTTACATTTGGGTAGTTCTTTTTTCTAATTTCGTTGGGGTTTCAATATGAAAAACCAAGAGGTGAAAAGAAGTACGTATAATGATTAGGATGTTTCAGAGTCAGGTTTGTGTTCTGGTTCAATTAACCTCCAGAAAGGATGTATCACCGAAAAAGGAATATAACTTTTCTTTTATATAAACATTTTTCTTTTTGATAAGTTAAAATACATTTCTGTGGTGCATGTAATGGAATATTTGGGAATTTACTTTTGATTTTTTTTTTTTTGAAAAGGAGCAGAAATTGAGATGGATTAATTAAATTTTCTCATACTATGTCCAAGGACTAAGAAGGTTTAATTAAGTAAATCAAAGTAGCTTATATTTTAAATTTTATTCAAAATGTGTTTGTATATTTATGGTTCTATAAGTGTGTGAATATTTAGCAATATATTGATTGCACAACAAAGTTATCTATAATTCGATATGATGACGTAAATAATTGTTAGTGCACATCAATTAAATATACACCAACTCATCAATAATCTTTACAAAAATTATGTAATCCTTACACAAAAGCCTAGAAAAAATAACCTACTTTTTTTTAATGTTTTTTTAATGTAGTTTATATTAGTTTACACATTTTTAAAATATAAATTCACAAATTTCATGACACACATATAACATGCATAATCTAATTCGAAAGACATTATAATGTAAAAAAAAAAAATTTATTCAACACATTTAATATATTAAATATTAGGTATTAATTTGTAGATAAAAAATAAAGCTAACTTTACTATATATATATATATGTATTTTATTTTTATTTTATAAAGTCATACATGTTTATGCATGTTTTTATTCATACAAGTATTTAAAAGTTACATATTCATAAAATAATCAAAATATAAGCCAATTAATTCTAAAAAACATTAAAGAAATTTATTTCATTCTTGCTTTTAATATTGTTTTCATTGTTAATTAAATTGTATAAATTTTTTGTGAAGAAAAAGTATCTAAACATTTCTAAAAAATAAAACTTAAAAACAATTATATTTATCAAAGAAGTATTACTTTTTTTTGCCCTAAAAGATGATTTTCAGGTGAATGAATTTGCATTAAAATGTTATCTTACAGAAATAACTCTTTTTTTTTTTTTTTTTGAAAACAAAGGGAATGAGAGAATTTCTGATGCTTTTCTTATACCTTTCTCTCTTAAAAAGAAAGTCATTAAAAGAAAAAAAAAAACTTTACGGTACCTATAGAAATTTAAGGTGAGCTGGTTTTCTTTTATTCATTTACTTCTGAATAAGATATGACGAAATTTGGTTGCTAAAAATAGTTATCGTGGACCCAAGACAAAAGCACCTGTTCCATAAAAACTTCAATTGCCTGGCCCTTTTATGTTGGATTATCTGAATTGTCTCTCCAAATTCAATGTTAGGGACTGACGTCGATGTTAAAATTCACCCAAGAATACAAAGCATTTATTTTGGACGGAGCTTACCTTGCCACACCTCACAAAAACACTTGCATAAATATATGAATACATTTTTAATATAAAATTGAGTTTAATACATGAAACTATAATATTTTTATATAAAAAAAATATATATAGGCAAGACTACGTAGAAGTCCGACAAAAACATGAAGTTTGATAATGAGTGAAAAGCTTTAATTAGAAAATAGTAAATTGGGTTCGACTCCAATACTCCATTAGAATTGATAAATTCTGGTGCAGTTATTTACAAGTTCAACCAAGTAAAAAGTAGTTTTTTTTTCAAATTAAAGTATAATATATAATACAGTAATAATAAAAATCACACAAAATCACGAGAAATATACACAATTTAAAATTTTAGTAGTAAATAAAAAAAAAAGACCATATTCTAATACTTGATCTGATGGCCTCTCACTATGAATAACAGTAATAAGTAATTAATAATATTTTAATATTTTGGTGATTCCTATTTAATTTGTTTCTTAATTTTTTTTTTTTTAAACTAGTTTGCTTCTAATTAGTCACTTATCTGTGAGCATCGAATTCTCAGAATACTTGATTACCATAATATGCTCTTTCATTTATCCTTCTTTTTATATTTGTGGATGGAGATATTCATCAACTTTTCTCTTTTTTCCATGATCTCTTTGATAATTATGCAATTAAAAGGATAAAAACTTATCCTTCTAATTCTGTCATATTGCCCACATGGTTAATTCTTTTACATATCAGAATCCATTTAAAAAGAAAGGCATGCTTGTTACGGCTTTTCCTTCACCTAGTTCCTAGAATACATTATTACGTTTGTGATATTTTAGGTAGTTTATATTATTTTATAATTTTTTTAAAAAAAAAAACAATTAATTCCGTAACTGTTAAATATTGATTTAGTAACTCCACCCACTATATTCAAATGATTTTTAAAATTGAAAAATTAAGATACTTTGCACTAAATTGTATCCATTAAAATTAGATCTTTGTTTGTAGTGATCAAAAACAAATTATTCAAACGATTTTTTTAAATTGGACAATTAAGATATTTTTGCACTAAATTTTGTGTATTAAATCGAGTCTTCGTTTGTATTGATTAAAAACAAATTATTCACTAAATTTTGTACATTAAAATTAACATTTGTTTGTTCTGATTAAGAACAAAATATTCAAACTGGAACGAAAATATTCAAAAGAAAACTCATGTAAACTTTTTAAAGAAAAAAAAAACCAAATAATGAACCTAAGTTATAAGTTAATATTTGCCTAACAACATTGACGATTGGGTTTACAGGTGATAACTTCAACTCTCAAATGATATATTGAATCATATAACTAATTAAATTGCTACGTATTTTCATAACATTTAATATATAAATAAATTTTTTTTTATGCAAAAAAATATATGTATATATTAGATCTTATATAATTATTCAACATTTTTGCATTTATTAAGACTATAAATATTAAATTATTGAACCTAAATGCTACTTGAGATTGATTTTGTTTATTAGACAATTTTAAGATGCGCTGCTAAGCATCAACTTAATAAATTTAAAAACTTTATTCTCGAAGTTCAATACATTAATATCCATAAAGATTGAATGTCATAACTTCTCTTCTATGGCATTTAATAAATATGTAATATAAAGGGAAAAATCTAACATGTAGCCGGCAAGCTATAAGCCAAGATCCAGAAAGGAAACAACAGGTCTTAGCATTGAACTAGACATGACGGAAGTTAACTGGACCCCAAATGGTTGTATTATGAAAGTGAATTGGTAGGGTTTATAATAAGTATCTTAAATGGCCTGTTTGGCTTTCTTTGTAAGTAGTAGATATTTGTAGGTGGTACCATTTAATTTTAGGCTCTGCTGGGTTTATAGCACGGCAAAAGCACTAAACTATGCCAGATTGCTAACTAACTCTCTGTCTATGATCTATCCATGTGGTAACGTAGGGGACCAGTTTTCATTTTTTCTTCCAATTATAAATTCAGATCAGTTGGCTGAATAAAGTTTGATATGGAGCTGTTATAGCTTTAGGCAATCCGGCATGTGTAGGGATGACACTTGACGTGGATGTGGGTATATTTATTTTGAATTTATTTATTTTTTTTGTAATTTTAAATTATTAAAAATAGTACTCTTCTATGTTATATGCACGTTCTGTATCTCTACTATATTTAAATAATATCGAGTCATACTAGTATCTTTTCAAATATATTTTTTGGTGAATTAAGATGCAGAACAGCATTGCTCTTTGTCCACTCCTAGCTCATCTTTGCTAAAAACACACATCTAACTTCTACCATGGAATATTTTATAAGCAAAAGAAGATAAAGAAGGATAGAAAATAAACGGTATTAACTAGAGAAATCATAGGCCTCTTGATGACTAAGAGATTATCGCTATTTATATCAGAAAAGAAAGCATTGTTGAGTTTCAGGACTTACGGTTTCCAGCGGAGGCAAACCCAGTTCTTAGTTAATCCTGCTTTGACTGAATTACTTGCGAAGTGCTAGACATTAATTTCTCAACCTCTAAAAAATAGACAATGAAGGGATGTTAACAAAAGTAATTTCTTAATATTACCCTGGAAATTAATTATCACAAAAACGAGCAAAATGAGATTTATGAAAAATCACCAAATTCAAATTTCTTTCTACTACATTCCTTAACGCAAACATGAATTTGGACTACAGCAATTGGGAAATCAAGCCAACGAAAGTAAGAAGAGCACCTCAGTGACAATGCTTATTAGAAAATTTACCTGGAGTAAACCTCATATCCAAATCTGGCTTATTTTTTTCTCTAAAGAAATCAGGCTTATTCAGTTCCAATGCAGCGCCAGTTCCTTTTTTTCTGTATGGAGCACTTTGAACTAGCAGAAACCACGACCATGTTGCTGCCATACAAACACTTCTATTATCAGGAGCAGCAAGAAAGAACAACGGAACAAAAAAATAAAAAGGCTCCACGGTACAACCTAGCAACTCTTTGTTATTGCTTAAGATGGAGCCTATCAAAATGAGAGATCAGGCACAAACATGGTGAAACGGAAGACAATATGCCACGACTAATATCATTTTTTATTTGATAAAAATCAATGTTTATTGTCAATTTTACATCTAACAACATGGAAGACTTAGTTATATTGATTAAATGGTGAGAGGATAGTCGCATTGCCATGTTGTCAATAGAAAAAAAAAAACTTATAACAATAATAGAACGGGAAAAACCAGGGGTGGTTTTTCAGAATGAGTAATTAGTTGATCATTAGCATATCAAATATCAACACTCAACCTAAATTACAAGACAACAGATGATTGCAGATATATCTATCACATCCTTGTTTTAAACAGCTATCTTGTTTGCTACAATGTATACATATAGATACAAACACAAATACAAGAATGCAATCCACACACGCGTGCGCATATATGTTGATCACTCAGCAATAATTTCCTAATGAGAAGTTGATCATCCAACCTAGCATTTCTAATTTACGCAAGGATATCTTGTTTACTGGTTGGCTATAAGCTAGAAACCATGGCAGCCGATTCCTTCGTTAATTTACAATTCATTTCCTCTCCGTCTTCATCTTCTTCTGACATAAAATGTGCATATAATCCCAGCACCAAACTCCACGTTTATTTTACAAAAATCAATTTGGTCACCGAAAATTCATTTACGAACCAAAAATTAAGCGATCGGAATAAAGGCAGAATACCAGTCATGTGTAACGCAACAACAGCTCGATTGTTTGCTCGGCTCTCGAGTCCAATTTCTCTGTATCTCCTACATCAACTGCCCGAACAAACTATGCACCTCTCTGTCTCCATGGATCGCCGCCGGCATTGCTCTCCCGTATAAACTCTTGTGCCCTCTCTGGACTTTCCGCAATCAGTTCCTTCAAATTTATCCGTCCTCCACCAATCAATCAATCAAATCCATGATAATAATCAACCATTAAACGAGAGCTTTTCACAGGACATCAATATAAACTACCTACCGCGTCTCTCTTATGGAAGCGATAACCGTCTCCAAGAAAATCCCGCCTTACACGAATGTTTTCCCGCTAATAAATTTTGGTAATGCATGCGGTATTTAACACCTGGTTCCGTCTTTTTAAATTATTAATATTTTTTATATTTTAAATATATTTTATTAAAAATCCGATTCGGATGGGCCAGACTTACCTGAATGACAATTCGGCCCACCACCCCAGGGCCAGCCCATGCGCTGGTTTGACCCACATACAAAATTATTTTTAAAAATATATAAATTTATATGCAATTTTGAGTAAAAATAAATTATAATAATAATTATATATATATATATATATATCTTTCGTCAGGAATTAGAACAATTAATTATAGAGAATATAGGATTTAAAATAGTTACATAATATCTGTTATTTATGATATATTACATATATATTATTTATTTTAATATAATATTAAACAAGCTTCAAATTAAATTAAATTATTTTTTATTTTTTAAAAATTAAATCACATAAATATATTTATAAAAAATACAAGCATCGTCGTTATTTTCTCTTTCAAACTAATTAGTCCATTATTATCCTCCAATAAATACATTGTTTAATACATTTTTACTTTTATAATATTTCAATATAGTAATTTTGGTTAGTATTTAAATCATAATATAATAAATTTAAAAAAAAAACTACGACGTTTTAAGTAAAAACTCTCAAAACACACGTTAATTAAATTAAAATATGTCATACTAATAAAGTTAGTGGTGAATTATAAATAAAATTCAAACATGGGTTATTAAATGACTAAATCTATGATTGTAATAAAATATAGTACTATAATTACGATAAAAAAATATGTCATTAGTTACTATATTATTGTAATATTGTAATAACTTTTAATATGCAATCAAAACACTTATGATATGTTGTACATTATTTTTATCATGTACATATTGTAAACTCATAAAATTATTTATATATAAATTTAACTTTTAGAATGTTTTAATTTTTTAGAATTTATTTTTTTATATAATAGTATCAAAATATAATTGTTCCAATTGTTTTATATTTTTTTAAAAAAATAAATATCCGAATTAAAAATTAAGTTCGACATTTATTTTTTATCTCCACTTTAATTAATTCATCTATTTTTACTATCCTTTAAACATGTATGTGAAATAAAATTAGGTGTTACAAAATAAATAATATATTATAAGATTATGAATTTAATATAATTATAAATCGAATTTATTAGTATGTTAGTTATTGCATTATCAAATAAATTAATTTATATATTTTATTTGATTATAAAATAAATTTTCATGTATTACTTTAAAGAGAACAAAACTTTTAACATATATAATTAATTTATTGGATTGAATTACATATTATGTTCATATTATAAGGAGTATATAATTTTTTAGCTTAATATATTTTATTGTAATTGATTCTAAAAATCTATTGTTTTTTTTTTAATTTACTAAATAAAAAAAATTTAAAACAAAACCATAAAACCCAGCACGGGCGGCCACGTCATCAATGTTCGTGGTCCGAGTCGTATCGTTAGTCTCACTCTTCGACCCATTTGGGTTCGTTTTTGTCTTGTTCTCTTCGTGCAATCGTGCTTGTGGCTGGCAGTTCAGTTTAGAGAGAGATAGAGAGAGGGACTGGTTAGGGTTAGGAGGAAGGAAAGAGAACGAGAGGGTGGTTGGTCTTCCATGGCGACAGCTCTTTCTTCATTATCCATCTCCTCTTATCATTATCATCCTCTGTTGCATCCCTTGCCGAAGTCCCTCTCTATCTCTCTCTCTTTCCCTCTCCACTCCCCTGTGCCTCTTCCTCCTCCTCATCATCATTCATTTCCTCGATTGAAAAGTGATCGGAAATTCCGGACTCTGACTCTCGCGTCGTTTTCATTCGCTAATAGCAGCGATGACATGTTCTCCTTCGGAGATTCATGGGCGAATTCGCCCAAGGTTAGCTTCGAATTTTCATTTTATTTAGACATGGAGAATTTTTTTATTTATTTATGGGGAATTGTTTTCATCTGTTTTGTTTTAACGTTTTCGAGTTTGAATTTTGTCGTTGGGAACTTGTTTAGAGTCTCGCATCGCTTAAAGCGAGAGAAGAATCGGTAGGTGGTTACTCTCCACAATTTTGTTGTTTGGAAGAATTTATAGGTTTTAATTCGATACGGAATGATTTATTCTTAGGAGATTGTTGGTCTTGTTTTGACGGGCCTGCTTATTGGTAGTTTTTAGATTTTAATTTATGGTTTTTAACAGTAAAGTTCCAATATCTTGAGAAATTGTCTTGTGAGGTTCTTTGTTTGGGTTTTGGGGATGGGAAATGCGATCTTCTTTCATGAAGTGGGACTATATTGTCTATGGTTCTATTTGAGTTGGGTTGCTGCTGATTATTTAAGGAACAGTGGTGCCTGCAAGAGCAAATATCTAATTTAGTTAGATTTGTTCTCTCTCCATACTTCCTCAGTTGGAAAAATTTCGCTGTTCAACTGAGAAAATATTCAGAGTGTTGAAGTGTAGGAGTTAGATATGTGTGTATTTATTTATGTTAGTTCCTCGGTCCTCATTGGTCCTTCATCTCGCACTGTGTTTGCAGATGATACATAGAGTATAGACCATGTTTGTAAAATAGGTAATTGACATTGTTGATTACAACTTGGTTATTTTTTGTGGATGTATTTTGATTCATATTCTATAGTAGGTTGCCAAATCTCATTTATTGATTTATCTTGCCACTGCCTTCACAGAAAATTGCATATTAGCATATTTTTAATGATTTTGATTTCTTCCCAAATGCATGATTTGATGGTTATGTGAAAAAGACCTTTGATTTTTTGTTCTATTGTTGTAGGCAAGTTCTGATATTTGTTCATTTTATTGATGAGTTCAAATATTTTTTCTCAGCATTTTGTTTCTCAGAAGCAGTGATCATGAGTTAATAATGGATAGTTTTTGACAATTTAGTTTTATATCCTTTCAGAAATCTGTTATTGCAGATGTTATACGAGAGATAGAACCATTAGATGTGGGTCTTATTCAAAAAGATGTTCCACCAATGACATTAGATGCGATGAAAAGGACCATCTCAGGCATGTTGGGCCTACTTCCATCTGACAGGTTTCAAGTTTTTATTGAGGCTTTATGGGATCCTCTTTCGAAATTATTGGTTTCTTCTATGATGACGGGGTATGTTCATCTTTAGCAATATAATTCAAGATTGTACTGCATGTTTGTTTGTATAATTTTCCTCTTCTTTCTGATTTCCCCTCAGAATGGCGGGAGGGCAATTGAAGCCTTTGGAGTAGTTTGAGATGGTTTTGCTAGCTGTAGTAGTCCATATTTGGTCTGACATTATTTTATCTTTTATTCATTTGTCAATGTAAAATTAATTGGCACGGTCGAACAGTTTCACGTACTCATAAAAAGTTAGTAATTAACAACAGATGGGTAACATCATTATGTCACTTTCGCCTTTTTTTTTTTGAAATAATACGTCATTTTCGCTTTTATCAAGTTTAACTCTGTAATTCTTTTGATACTTAAGTGCAAATACTCACCATCTACTAATGTGTCAACAAGTGATTATAAAAACCTATAAACTACTCGCTGATTGCATCTTCAAATCATATCACTTTCTTTTAGCATGTACTTTGTTTCTTCCTTAGTCTAAATGGGTTGATAAATATTATTATTCCTTTCCAACCATATATGTTAAGATCATTACTGCCCATTTTGCCAAGTTGATGCTAGTGCTGCGAGTGCTTAAAAAAAGTTATGAAAATAACTTCTAGTGCAAATGTTTTGAGATAAAAAATTCATTTAGTGTTTGGTAAAATTGTTATGTGAAGTGCTCTCAATATAAAATGTGACTGTTTTTTCTTAGAGAACTTTAAAATAAAAATATTATTTTGTTTGACATCAACAAAAAAATAATGTAACAACAAAATGACTATTGCAAATAATTTAGACCTTGCAAGGAAATTCCTTGGAATTTATCTCTTTGAATTATCTTTTAGATTTTAATTATTTTTCAATCTCAGTGCACTTTGTTTATAAATATTAATTCAGATTCTTCATCATTTGATTTATCTTTAAATTGTAAGATATTTAAATCTGGGATAGATGTGAAATTAGTAATAATAAATTACAGTTATATTTTTTATTCGAGCAAAGAACTTATTAGTCAAGGTCAAAATAATAAGGATTTTTCAATAAAGACATTATTCACGTGTTTAAGTAGAAGCCTTATCTCACAGGAATATACTTTTAGCTTCTGAATTTCTTTTTTTCGGAAGTCAAATTTGGCTTGTGCTTTGAACTATAAGCAATTCAATTTTAGATATTGAGTATGCTTATGTTGTCAAATAGAGAAGATTTCTCATTTGAATCTTTATTGGTTGGCGTTGGAAGATCTAAGAATGGAGTTTCTCTTGAAATACAGGTACACATTGCGAAATGCTGAGTATAGGCTTTGTCTTGAAAGAAATCTTGATATAGAGGAAGAGAATCTAGAATATCAAACCCCTCAAAATTCAAAAATTGATTTGCAAGGGGTATTTCTGGATAGTACAAAAATAAATGAACCTTCAATTGAAAATGGCATGTCATCAGAAATGGATGAGGTTACTGAAGATCTTTCTGATATCCATGGCCTTGGCAGAATATCCCCTGAAGCTCAACAATATATTTTTGACTTGCAGTCCCGTTTATCTTCAGTGAAAAAGGTACTTGATACCATTCACAAGACTTCTTTAGTAAATGGATAAAGTTCTTTTCATGGTAAATGGTTGACTTGTGGCAACTCAATTGATTTATGTGTCTGGCTTGATCTTGGGTTTCATGTATGTTGCAGTTGTATTGTAAAAGGCAACATAGTATCTTCTACTTTTAGAATCATGGGTGCCAAAGTTTTTACATTCTTTAAACGAAAGCCAGTCTGTGAGTGGAAGGAGATGTTATATTGAATATGTTAGGTTTAAATGAGAGAGCCTTGATAAAAAACTACAAATAATTTCAATGAACTCCCTACCCACTAGAATTGCAATTTTTAAGAAGCACTAATCGAGAATTATGAAAATGTGCATTCATACCTAGGATTGAAAAGCTCATTTTTTTTGTAATAAAGATTGAATACATCATAAAGAGAAACTGTGTAAATGATAAAAATACAGAATGAGAACAAGTAAGGAAGTTATTTATGTTTGAAACTCTCTTCCTCTTTTAACATTATGCAAGAGCAATGTGCATCATTGACTTAGAGCATGGGACAGGCTTTTAATTCACGTAGTTGATTATAGCTACAACAAATCTCGCATAATGTTTACCTTGGAATTCGAGAAGTTTGGTTTTTTCTCTGTTGTTTTTCTCCCTTAATTTTATCTCTTAAGAATCAACTTAGTTTAGTTAGCATGCATTCTCACTATTAAGGTTCGGTTTTATTGAAGGAACTTCATGAAACCAAGAGGAAAAGTGCCGCCCTTCAAATGCAGCAGTTTGTTGGCGAAGAGAAGAATGATCTATTGGACTATTTGAGGTCATTACAACCAGAAAAGGTTAGTTCTATCTCAGACAATTGCAAAGTCGCTACAAAAATTTTTCCCAGAAATTCTTTTCCTCCAAACCTCAATCTGTTGCTGGCCCCTACCATATTTGGTGTCTTTCGGTTTCTAGTTCTGGTACTTTCATGGCACCTGCTAAGCAGGAATACAGTTTGAGGTCTTTGCTTCTTTTTAGTGGAGGGTAGAATCAAAGAATCCTCTTCATCTTTTGTATTTGAAATGTTAGGAAGCATTAGTTACCTATTCTGTCATTTTAATATTTCATTTTGAAATACTAGCTTTCTTTTTTCTCTTTATAAATGACATAGATCTTATGCAAGTTATGAGTAATTCTCAGTTTTTTCCATGTTCAGATTGAGTAGGCCAAATAACTATTTTCCGTGTAAACATACTGCTCTTTGCCCTTCTCTTAAAATAATTATGAATTATATGCATGTTCATGCTGGTAGAGTTTAGTCTGATTTCTGTTGGTTGTGCCTTTTCATCTACTGATGGCCCTTGTTAGTGCAAAGCATCAGGTCACAGCTGCATCATTCTCCACTATAATTTCTGTAAAATTTTACTTACTTATTTCTAGTCCTTAATTCAGCAATCTTGTCAGTGTTTCTGTTGTATGTATCTCGGGCCATGGTTATTCTATTTCAACCTGGGTCTGTTCTGGCTTTCTCTATCCATCTCAAATGGAGCCCTTCCTCTTGAGATTGCTGCTAATTCAAGATGTGTTATGATCAGGTAGCTGAGTTGTCGGAACCTACTTCAGCTGAATTAAAGGAAACAATTCACTCAGTAGTTCACGGTCTCCTAGCTACGCTTTCTCCAAAGATGCACTCTCAGGTTCCTCCATTAGAGAATTCATCAACTGGAGCCGTAAATATCAGCGGAGAAGACTGTGCGGAGCTTATAGAGAATACGTCACTTCAGTTTCAGCCCCTAATTTCTTTAACTCGTGACTACCTGGCACGCCTGCTCTTCTGGTTAGACTAGCTTCTCTCCCTTTTCATTATTTCTTTTTAAAATTTCCTATATTCATATTCATATAAGGGTTGAGTGATTGAGTTTCATCATGCTGAATGTTCTTTAAATAGATACTGTGCTGTCTAGATTTATGAGGGCTTTAACTCTAATACCTTCTTCCCAATTTCTTTTTCAATTTCCTTTTGAAGAGAAGCAACAATCTAAGTTGCTTTTTTGCTTTAATGTACTGCCATGTTGTGGTGTTTGCTTTAGACAACTTTTTCAGGAAAATGAGAATCTTAATTCATAAACTACGTCTATGGCTGTTTGAGGACTAGAATCCAGAATTCACGAGATGATTTGCATGTTTAGAGTGAAAAGCATCCTTAGGTTTTATGGCTTTTCTTTTCAACGTCCATTTAGATTTTTTATGTAACTTAGGGCAGTGAAACAAGCTAACTCATTTGTTTCACCTGTATATAAATATAATGTCATCCATAGGTTTATTTAAAAAAAAATATATATATATATTTCATATCAAAATTTTCTTTTCACCATTAGGTGCATGCTGTTGGGACACTATCTCAGAGGCCTCGAATACCGGATGGAGCTGATGGAACTTCTATCATTAACAAGCGATGCTGGAAACGAGCACCGCGGTAATGGGAATCTTGCTTAAAGTTAACTCTATTTCAAATGTTTCCATCTTGTACATAGATGTACTGCTTTTATGTATGCCAGCAACTTGTTTTCCAACATAAAGAGGCTGCAACCAGGATACAACCAGTTCAGGCTTTGCGGAAGGAAAGTTCTTCTTTTATGTAACATAGAAAGTCTACTTAACTTGCGTGGCATCAGTCATTTTCCCCTTCGTTAACTTTACACCGTTCCTATTATGTTTTCAGAAACTTTCTAAAAGAAGGCATAAATCTGTATTTGTAAATTTTGGGTATGCTTGTAATAAATATAAAAAAAAATTGGTAGAATTCATTTCTAAATGTAAAATTTTAATTGTGAGAGAGAGTAAAATTTCATTATAGGATGATTAAAAATTTAGTTCAATGAATCTCACTTACGAGTTTAATTTATAAATTTTGAGGGAGATTTTCTTGATTTTAGTTAAAGAAAATGTATATTATAATATTTCATATGAGGTTAAGTTTCATTTTAAAATAGTAATTATGATAAAAAAAAAACCATACATATTTCGAATTGAACAGGACCTAAGCTGGTTGTTTGCCCAAGGAATTCTATCATTTTTTTTGTTGGAGTAACTAATTTCTTCTTGAATAATTGAAAACGCAAAACAATGGAATGCAAATTTACTGAATAATTGGCTTCAAGATGGAAGTTTCAATTTCAATCCCAACAACAGGATCTGATTATGCTTCCATTTCCCCGACGCTCTGCATCCACCATTAACACACCTTCTAGTTTTGCTTCTCGTTTAGCTCGTCATCTTCTGCATTCCAATCCGTTTTCCTCCACCAGCTTCCCCAATCTCTCTACCCTTTTACAGGGCCGAATTTCTTGCTCTCATGTCCTTCAAATCCATGCCCAAGTGTGCAGGCGTAATGCCCACCAAGACAACTTGATCGCCACTCGTCTCATCGGCCACTACCCATCTCATCGTGCTCTCGCCGTATTCAGTCATCTGGAAAGTCCCAACATTTTCCCCTTTAACGCCATTATCAGAGTCTTGGCTGAAGCTGGTCTAGTCTCTAACTCTTTTCTTCTCTTCAAAAAGCTCAAGCAGAGCTCGCTTTCCCCTAATGATTTCACCTTTTCCTTCCTCTTGAAGGCGTGTTTACGATCCGGTTATGCTCGGTGGGTTAAACAAGTTCATGTCCAGATCGTGAAACTGGGTTATCTCGGTCATTCCGCTGTTTGTAACAGTCTCCTTGTGGCTTACTCGAAGGTTGACGAAGAATTGGATTCTGCACGTAAGGTGTTCGATGAAATTCCCGAGAAGGATTTTGTTCCTTGTTGGACTTCTTTGATTGCAGGTTATGCTCAAGCAGGTCGAGCCGGGGAAGTTTTGCAGCTTTTCTGTAAAATGGTGGAGGAGAATTTGTCGCCGGAGGATGATACAATGGTGAGTGTTTTGTCTGCTTGCTCCACCCTTGACATGGTTCAATTTGAGAGATGGGTGCGAGTCATGCATGAGGTTTTCCTCGAGAATTTTGATTCTGACAAACTGGTACGTGGTTCCATTAATACTGTTCTTGTTTATTTGTATGGTAAATTGGGGAAGGTTGAGAAGAGTAGGGAAATATTTGATGAGATTGATAATATTGGAAAAGGAAGTGTTCTTCCTTGGAATGCTATGATCGGTACTTATGTTCAAAATGGCTGCCCTGTGGAAGCTCTGAATCTTTTCCGCTTAATGGTGGGAGATTCTGATCATAGACCAAACCATGTCACCATGGTCAGTGTGCTTTCAGCTTGTGGGCAAGTTGGTGATTTAGAACTTGGAATGTGGGTTCATGACTACCTAAAATCCAGAGGACGCAGAGGAGTTCTACATACTAACACATTTCTTGCCACTGCTTTGATTGATATGTATTTCAAATGTGGGAGTCTTGAGAGAGCCAGAGAGGTTTTCAATAAGATGAAATCGAAAGATGTTGTTGCATTCAATGCCATGATAATGGGTCTTGCAGCAAATGGTGAGGGCAGAGAGGCAAACAGAATTTTCTGTGAAATGAAAGAACTTGGTTTACATCCCAATGCAGGAACATTCCTTGGTCTGTTATGTGCTTGCAATCACGCTGGTTTACCAGATGAGGGAAGACAAATATTCAGAGACATGAATTTGTCTTTTTCAATATCTCCTGAATTGGAACACTATGCCTGCTACATCGATCTTCTTGCTCGAGTTGGGCTCATTGAAGAAGCTCTCGAGGTGGTTGGTTCTATGCCATTTGAGCCTAACAACTATGTCTGGGGCGCATTGCTTGGAGGTTGTTTGCTTCATTCGAGGCTAGACTTAGCGCGGAACATTTATGGAAGACTTGTCGAAATGGATCCTAGAAATTCTGGAGGATATGTGATGTTGGCTAATGCATTTGCAGTGGATCAGCAATGGACTGAGGTGTCTGTATTAAGGTGGGTAATGAGGCAGAAGGGAGTTAAGAAGCAGCCTGGTCAGAGTTGGATCACCATTGATGGATTTGTACATGAATTTCTTGTGGGTTCTCCAGCAAATCCACAAATTGAAGGCATATCTACCACATTGAGTGGTTTGATGAATGTAATGAGGGTCCCTGTATTTAAATGATATATATATATATATATATACATATTATAAATTTACAGTTTTCAATTGAAAAATCATGTAACTTTTATTAAAAAATTATCTTTATATCGAATTGCAAAATAATATTATCTTAATTTAAAATTTAAAAGATACATTACTCTAATTTTATATATTATTCCATTTGAAAAGATAAAGTCCTAGTTTTAAGCAACCTAATACTTCTATGTTAAGAACATATTTTGATATTATTATATACAACAATTGGATCCAAATATAAAATTATAAAAATAAATAAAAACTATTATTAAAAGGTATTATAAAAATTAATTATTTAAATTCAAATGTAAAATATTTAAGTGTAACTACACAAACAAATTATTCTTTAATATTATTGAAGGTAAAATTTCTTAAAAAGGAAATTTTTCATGGAACTTTTCCAACAATTTATATTTGATATTCACAATTGTACAAATTTATTTAAAGTTAAAAAATTAATTATGCTAATATTTTAGTTGGATTCAACTACGTAGGTGCTAAAATTGTGTGAAAAAATCATGAATCACTTAGATCTAGGTTTCTTTTCGATTGGTCCAATATATATTTATATATATATATATATATACACACACTTTATCCTGTTTTCTCATAAAAGAAAATTTTGAAACAAAAAAAAAAACCCCTAAAACCCTTCTCTTCTTCTTCAAACCCTTTTGCTCAAGTATAATTTATTATTTTCCTCCTGATAAAATCAAAATTCTGATCAACTTGGTCTTTTCTCCTTATCGTCTCCCTATATTTGAATTCTTCTTGTTCTTTGGAACTCTTTTCTTAAGCTCTTAATTTCTTCCTTTTTCTTCTT